CCCCCCCCCCCCCCCAACTCCGGGAATATCACAGGAGTCCCTTTCAGTTCATAATACATATTTATGATTGTGGGAGCTCTCTTTCGGTTCTCCCTCGGTGTATTATACATCTGAAATCCTATTAGTGCGCGATTGACGGGAAATTCAGCGTCAATCACCCAGGATATATTATTGATGGGCATTAATCTGGATGACGCTCATTGTTTGGATAACACTGTCGACGACGAGTCATCACATTATAACATCTCGCTAAATCCCTCCGACGATTCTTATTCCACTTTATCACTTTGTTGTCGCTATATTTCGTTATATTTATTCTTCTCTGCTTCCTCTTCGCTTCGGCTTCACTCAGCTCTCCTCGGCTCTCGTCGATAGTCCATCTTCTCTATTGAGCCAAGAAATTAATAGTGAAATTTAATCCGTATAGACGGTAGCTGTAACCTTCTGAATGGGTCAGCGAGGGTTGAACTCTTCGTTCAACAGGTAGCACTGGTGTAGGGAGTCCACGAGCCCCAGCCCTCTTCATTATATTCATATCATGTAAATGCGGCACCCACCCGTGAGCCAACTCTCTCCCCTTGCCTCTCGCTCTGTATCGCGGCTCTAAGGCGAGAGTTTGCGCCGGTTTGTGGAGTGACGAACTGGTTAGAAATTGTGTATCAAATGCTCTTTATTGTAATGGGATAGTGGAATAATTGGACGTGTTTTATTTGTATTTATTTTTATATTTTTTCATGATTTTTTTTCCCGTGAATTGAATTCAATGTCTGATAATTTTCCATAAAATTTTGAATTTTCAATGACGAAATGCCTCGAAATTTCAGTGGAAGTACAATAATTTTTAACAGTATTGTTTTGTTCATTTGACTTCACAGGAGTTATTAAATTATTTAACATTATTTAAAGTCACTTGGACTATTGTCAACATGAATTATGCAGTTGAAGGTTTTCAAATGAAAAATTCTGCAACAGTGTTTTATTTAAAAATTACCAAACTCATTTGAAAATTTTATGACACAAGACCCGATCATTAATCACTCGCTCTTCGGTAATACAATCGTTTAGGTGTCAGTAAGGCTCTTAGTAATTGACACTGTGAGCCGCTACCAAATTATCCCCTTGCAATTGGAAGCAACTCGAAGGATCCCTCTTGTAGGACTGCTAACTCGAGGTATTTTAACGAGTTTTTGAGCTAAATTAAAAATCGATAATGCCGTTTAATACGGTTGGTAGCAACACTTGATCCCACGTAAACGTAATTAAACGGAGCTGGTGGAGTTCACTTGGTACCATGCGTGTGATAATTAGCAATTACGGGATACTCGGGGTGGATATTGGGTACCAGTAACTTTTCAATTTTGTTATTATGATCAGTTCTTTTCCATTGCCCTGTTGCATTCAATGACGCGTAAAGATGTTATCTTAAAGGCGGTGTGGATTAACTGGGTTTGATGCAGACCTCATCAGTTATCGGTAATTAATGTAACCGTCGTGTTACATCGATTAGGGTTTTTGATATGGGAGTAGAGGAGAACGATTTATCTGGAATGTGAATTTTTGTGGAAATGTAGATTGAGATGAGGATGTTGAGCAGGGAGAGGTGAATGAAGATGTGCGACATTTTTTAAGTGATGATGCCTTACCAAAAATTCAGGTACGGGGGTAGATTTAGGCCTGAATTATACATAAACCTGAATTTGGGATTTAATCCGGGCGAAGACTTAAATTCAGACACACCTGAATTTAGGATTTAATTCAGGCGAAGGCCTAAATTCTGATATGTACCTGAATTAATCCGAGAACTAAATTTGTCTGAAGTTTAAATTTAAGTGCGTACTGATGCCTCGATTCAGGTGCAGTTTTAAATTCAGGGTTATACCTGACTTGAGGCTTGGACCTTCTTTCAGGCCTTAATCGCGGTTAAGGCTTAAATTCAGGTACACGCCTGAATTTATGCCGGGCATAAATTGATTCCGAAATATAAATTTAAGCCCCAATCAAGACTTAAATTAACGTCCACATTTGAATTCAGGTTTGGAGCCGAATTTAGGTATTGTCTTAAATTCAGAAGAGAACTTGTATTTATGTCGAACCTGACTTATTCCGAGACCTAAATTCAGATCTGAATTTGATTTTAGATGCCCTGCAAAAT